AAAAGGCAACTCATGCAATGTTGTTGGAATATTACTCAGTCATTAAAAAGATGAAATCTTACAATGTGCAATAACACAGATGACCCAGAAGGTATTAATTACATTAAATGAAATATATCAAAGAAAGATACTATATGATTTTACTTATATGTGGAATCTGAAAAGCAACACAAATACACAAAAACAGAACAGAAACATATTCATAGATACAAAGAATAAACTGGAGGTTGCCAGAGAGGAGGTAGGTGGAATAAATGAAATAGAAATAAGTAAAAGGAGTAAAGAGGTTTAAATTTCCAGTGTATACACAGAGATCTATCGATCATGGACAGCATGGGAAATACAGATAATAATACTGTAATAATTTTGTATGGTGACAGATGGTTATTAAACATATCATGGTGGTCATTTTCCATAAAATACTGAATTACCACGCTGCACACCTAAAACTAGTGTCATATTGTATGCTGCTGTTACTTACTTGCTACGTCATGTCCAACTCTTGTGACCCCATGGAATGCAGCCTGGCAGACTCCTTCTGTCCATGGGATTTCCAAGGCAAGACTACTGGAGTGGGTTGCCATTTCCTCCTCCAATAGTATTGCATGCAAATTATAACTCAGTAAAAAGGTGAAAAAAGTATTTATCAAAGATGAAAATTGTCAGCCTTTATGTCATCATGAAAGGATTTGGTAGTGGTGATGTCAGGGAGTATATACTTACTCTGGCTATTTTACAAGATTGTTAAAGAGTCAAATGAGTTCAAATTAATCTAATCACAGAAAATCCTGATCAATTTTTAAGCAATATTTTAAGAATAATGTATTATTAATACTTATTCATTATGGCACAGGAATATGAATGGCTACATACACAGTATGAATAAATCCAACCACTCTAATTAAAGCTCTGTAATTTTACTCCCTTTAAAAGTATTTCTCCCATCTTCCCATTTCATATGTAATATATTAAAGTCTACCGAGTAAAGCTTTGGGCCTGCCTGCTAGAAAAGATTGCTTTGTGGTTTTTAGTTTCACTAACTAAAATAGATTCTTTATTTGTGTCATTTAACATAATTCTGTAGGTTTTTACTCCACTGGAGTAGAGCAGCATTTTAATCCTGTCCCTATTATTGCATTAAAAGTACAGGCTACAGTAACAGAAATATTTCAGATTGAGAGATAGTGCTTAAGTTACACTTCACACTTCTTTCAACCTCCAAACCTACTCCAAGCTCAGACCAGTATGTTCACTCTCAGAAGAAATAAACACTGTATATGACAGACATAAGAGTCTTTCTCCTTTCTAATCCTGGCCCTCAGGCAGCACTGTAGTAGAACTTTTTATGGCTCCCAGGGTACGGAAATACATAGGAGTAGGGGCAGGATACAAACGAAAAGCAGGGAAATAAATCTTTGCTTTTCTTAATTACTTTTAGCATATTTAAATTCTGATTATTCCTAAGGTCTGGAAGAAGCATAAGCTGGAATCAAGATTGCTGGAGAAATATCAATAACCTCAGATATGCAGATGACACCACCCTTATGGCAGAAAGTGAAGAACTAAAAAGCCTCTTGAAAGTGAAAGAAGAGAGTGAAAAAGTTGGCTTAAAGCTCAACATTCAGAAAACTAAGATCATGGCATCCAGTCCCATCACTTCATGGCAAATAGATGGGGAAACAGTGGAAGCAGTGTCAGACTTTATTTTTTTGGGCTCCAAAATCACTGCAGATGGTGACTGCAGCCATGAAACTAAAAGACGCTTACTCCTTGGAAGGAAAGTTATAACCAACCTAGATAGCATATTAAAAAGCAGAGACATTACTTTGCTAACAAAGGTCCGTCTAGTCAAGGCTCTAGTTTTTCCAGTAGTCATGTATGGATGTGAGAGTTGGACTGTGAAGAAAGCTGAGCAATGAAAAGTTGATGCTTTTGAACTGTGGTGTTGGAGAAGACTCTTGAGAGTCCCTTGGACTGCAGGGAGATCCAACCAGTCCATCCTAAAGGAGATCAGTCCTGGGTGTTCACTGGAAGGACTGATGCTGAGGCTGAAACTCCAATACTTTGGCCACCTGATGTGAAGAGTTGACTCATTGGAAAAGACCCTGATGCTGGGAGGGACTGGGGGCAGGAGGAGAAGAGGATGACACAGAGGATGAGATGGCTGGATGGCATTACCGACTCGATGGACATGAGTTTGAGTAAACTCCGGGAATTGGTGATGGACAGGGAGGCCTGGCGTGCTGCGATTCATGGGGTTGTAAAGAATTGGACATGACTAAGCGACTGAACTGAACTGAAGGTATATTTCATATATCCACAGGCAGTTTGATTTAAAGTTCTTATACTGACATTATTAAAGATATTAAAATATACACTTTTGGTAATAATTTGCTTTTTACTGCACTCAAGTGGGAAATCTTTTAAATGAAAACAGCTACTCTGTGCCTGAGGTTAAAGGTGAGTCAAAGGTGACAAAAGAAGAAAAAATAGTTATTCTTAAACTAGTCTATAAAGTCAAAATGCTTGTGAAAATAACACTGTCCACCCACCACGCACTGGTAAACAGCAATGTCTTATTTTTTGGCAAAAATTGTATCAGCTCACTGTGAAACATTCCACATCAACAGATCTGATGTGCATGAGAGTTTTTTTTTTTTTTTTAGAAAAGAAAAATGACTAAATAAATGGACTTCCTTTGATGGACCAAATCTAAAATATGAAACCCACAAAAGGAATCCTTTTATAGTTAAAAGGTTATCAATGTGATATTGCTATAACATCTAGCACAGGAAGAGGAAAAAGTGAGTAGAAAATAGGAAGAAAGCCAGGCTACTTCTTGTTGAGTCACTCCTTTAGTATGTGCTTTTTTTTTTTTTTAATATATTTTATTACTTACTGTGTTAAAAGTACTTTCAAACTCAAATAAGATCCTCAATTATTTCTAATGGGTATACTTTAAAAATTTTATTGACGTATAGTTGATTTACAATGTGCTAATTTTCTGCTGTACAGCAGAGTGACTCAGTTATACATATATGTGTGTGTATGTGTATGTGTGTGTGTATACACACACACACACATATATTTTTTCTTTTTCATATTCTTTTCCATTCTGCTTTATCACAGGATATTTTCCTCTGACCATCAAATCTAAAATTTTAAAAGCAGACCCCTAGGAGGAACAACTAGAAAAATTACTAATGCTATACAGCATGAGAGGAAAAGTTATCCACCACCATGCCCTACCTGCCACACTCCACCTCCTGCTAAACTAAGCTGAGTAAGTATGACAACTGTCAGCTCTGTGCTAAGAAGCTTCTACCAAAAGCCTTAAAGCCAAGTGAGAGTCTTCTTTCTTCCAAAGCTGGGAGGCAGCTCTGAAGTAGAAGTCTTTGTGGCTCCCAGAGGACAGAGATATTTGAGTAAAGCACAAATGTTTGTTTTTTTCTTAATACAGTCACAGTCTACAATGATTAAATTAAGATAATAGAAGATAAACAACATTATTTTCCTATACCTTGTTTCAAAGAACTTCCTAGATTATGACATTTACATTGGCATATACCAAATCAGGTGTATAAATCACACTAAGATGAAACGTATATAAAAAGACAAGAATCCTAAATTGCTCTACAGTTTGTTAGTAAATGCACTTTTTTCAAGAGAACTAAATTTCCATATTAGAATACCACAGTGAAATAAGATAGTCCACAGAACTGAAAATAGGTACTAAAATTCTCAATTTTTCTCCTCTTCTCAGCTGCTAGTAACAATCTCTAGAAAGTTATTCAGCTTCAGTTTTCTAAGTCATTAGTCTCTAAATCCTCTTAATTTTTTAGTTAGAAAAATAAAGAACCAAGAGATTCAGTGAAGCATTTCAAGAAACTAGATTCTGAATATAAAGTTAAATTCAGACAACGTTGAAATACAAAACTGGAACTACTACTGACAGGTATAAAATACTAGTTTCTGTCGTCAATGGTGACAGTTTTGCATGTTTGTTTTCAAAGTAACACACTCATGACTAGATAAAAAGAATCTGAAGCACTGGCACACACACATAAAATTTATCAAAAGGCACTGTTGTTACTATCTATTCTCCATGGCTCAAGGAAGAGTTTGCAAGCTAAGGAAAATCCTTTTACATGAGAACTATGGTTACTGGCTCATAAGTAGTATGGCTATTCACCACTTAGAGGATAATCTAGTGTAAAGTTACTTTTGCTTCTTCTCATCCCATCATCACATCTACTTTTCTTCCTATCAATTTCTGCACATGAAAAAGAAAAGCAAAGTTTAAGCCACAGAAAATGTTAGCTGCTTTCCTAGGAAGCTGAATAGAGCAGCATTGCATAGTCCTAGTCTGTTCCTTAAGAAAACAAGAACCCAAAGGGGAAGACTCTTGTGTGAGAGAGAAAGTGTGTGTGTGTGAGAGAGAGAGAGACAGAAAGTGCAAGTGCATGTGGTGTTAAGACAGAGAAAGAAAGGATTATTTTAAGGCACAGATAAGTATGAGCAACATGATTTCTATATGTCGGTGTTACTAGTAATCTGTTTGGTATTTGCCATGTTTAACTGGATCAAACATAAAACTAATAAACTAGAGCTATAAATTATATACCATAGATAAGACAATCAATTACAGATTGAGAGAGCAGAAAATTCATATTGCATGTCACCTTCAGTAGTATCTATTAAACACATCTCTTAAAAAACTATAAACAGAAGATTTTAAAAGATACACAAATGACCTTAAAAACTGTTAAAATCTAGACATTTATAATGGAAAAATTTATTAAATAACCATATTAGTATGAAAATGTACCTTAAAGGTTAAGATATTTAGGGTTTAAAACTTGGACAAGTAAGCGTGCAAATCAAAACACAATTTTTCGGTGAGTTTCCAGACATTGCATAATAAATGTGGGATAATTACAACATTGATCAGTAAAACCCAATTAGAAACAGTTACACCATAGCAAAGAGAAATGAATTACCTCGTCTTCGCCCATAACTCCTCGCTGCATGTAAACAAAGGACAAATTGTAAAATGTCAGAACTAAAAATAAGCCCACATAGACAAACATTTGTGACATGGAAAGCTATGTGGGCATCTGGAAATTAGAACTACTTTGTCTTAAAAGCTACCTCAATATCATCACACAACATGTGTATGGTATTTTAATATTTACAAAGCACTCTTTTATGTGCCATCTGAACCATATAAAAACTGTGAAATTAACTGGAAATACAAAATTTATTCTCAATTATGTTAAAACTCATGAATAAATATTTGTTTCATCTAATTGGGATAGGAATATGTAACACTTTATGGTTAAACAGCATCCTAAATATTTTTCCCAATGAATGTAGACAACTTGAATCCTTACTTTTCTACTTATTATAAAAAGTGATACAGTATATAATGTTCAACTAGTAATTCAGGTCAACATCACTTTTTATGCAAAGCCCTGCATGGAAAAATAACTGGAAGACACAGAAGAGTGAAAAGATAAAACAATATTGAACTGGTCCGCTGAAGTCTACAGAGCTTAGATAGACAGAATAGAAGACTCATGTGTTCAAACTTGCTTAAGTGAAGAAATGATCAATGATAGACTAATAATGCTTTCAATCTTTTTGGTACATTTTATAACAGCTAAGTTATATTGTCTCCACATCTGGAGTAAGAGGGATTCCAATACAAACTATTATTAGTATCTTCAAAGAATAGTACATATGTTAAACCTTTAAAAGTGTAAAGCAGAAAGTATTTCAACCTATGTTACTAGCAGTTTACAGATTCCTCATGGAGAAAAAACACTGCAACTTATTTTTCATAAGAGTACCAGTGTGATAAAATCTATAACTTGTTTTTAAATAACTTAGCTCCCAAATTCGAGTATACTATGAGTATTTATACCCTAGAATTAGCAGTAAACCAAAAATGACTGTCAAAATCAAGATCTTAATTCATATTCCATCAATTTTTTTAGGTCTGGGAAAAATCTGTTATTGAAAAATTTCAAGTCAAAATACATATTAAAGGTTGTCAGAAATGTAGTCTCTCTAAAGGATGAAATTTAAAGATCAAAGGAAAACCTGTTACATCATTAAACACATTCTATTGTAGAGATTTTACAAAATTTAAAAAAAAATTATACTAAGGCTTTAATATAAAGAAGTGTGTCTACAGGGTGGGGCTATAGTCTTAGTTCCCCTATAATAAAAAGGAGAGAACCAAACTTGGAAAAGTCTTAATCATTTTTATTTCAAGAAATAAGCCAGTAAATGTAAGGGTTGTATTAGTCTTTTATATAAAGTAACTTCATTAACATCCCTGCATTTTACTGTCTTTAGTTACGTATACTATATGTACAGACTATTGTCTTCTGTTATATAAATGCAGACTTAACCTGTCCATGAGCTCCAGTTACCTCAAAACCTGGCAGATTTACCTCACCTATATACACATTTATATGTAGCTTACCTCTGTGTGTGTTTATGTATATATACAGATTATATTAATATATAGCTTAACTGATCTATATATTAGTTTAGGGTGAGGGTAGTAGTGGAAGTGGCATTTGGAATTTTGTCATCTAGGTCTTCTGAGACATATAGTCCTTAAGAAAAACAGGGTCTCAAAGAGACTGAAGATCAACTATAGACAATCAGACACTAGGAATTATAAAAGGAGTTATCAAGAACAGGCTATGGAAGGATGAATTCCCTGAAGTCTTCATAGCTGTATTCAGCATCAAAGTGGTCAATAGGCCCCAAAGCACATCACAGCTTAAATCAAAAGTTGGGATTCCTGCTTATCTAAAGGCATTAATCTAATATAAATTTGCTTTGGGGAATTTCATTCATGGTTGTAGAGGGTCAAATATTCAAAAGAAAATAAAACTGTTCATCAAATTTAATGTCATATTATAAAATTATGACTAAGTAATAATGTACAAACTCCAGGAGACAGTGAAGGACAGGGAAGACTGGTGCACGCCAGTCCATGGGTCACATGACTTAGCAACTGTACAACATAAATCATGATCTATTGAGAAAATTAATGACATCATAACCAGTTTATGGTCTTAGCTTTTATGTTCTTAGCTGAGGCTAGTCAACACTAAAATAGTGAAAATATGCATAAATGTTCATAGCATCTTAGGTTTCATCTCATTTCTAGGCTTGAACACATTACTTAGAAAGTTTCTCCAACTATCTCATACCTGAGGAATTTTAGAATCCTGTAAAGGGCTATAGCCCTTATTTCTTGGACAACTCTCAGATTCCAAGTCTCTACATTACCAAAAATAGAACTGACTGCAGATGAAGCTAAACCACGTGAAACATTCCCTATTCCCTGTCATGGAAATAACCAATCTCCTACCATATGCTAAACAATGGTGTGTGTACTCAACTTTCCTACTAATATTTCTATGTGAATTTCATGGATATGTTCCACTGTAACCGAATCAGAATTATCAGAAATCCTCAGTGAGAAAAGAAAATCATTACATGTCTAGTAATCATTATGTTTTAGTTAAAACAGACTTCTTTAAGCAGTATGCCCCTCCCAAACTCATTTAGAATATGATTTAGAGAAAAAAAAAAGCAAATAATTTGTAGTATAAAAACACTATACTTAAGAGTATTAAATTTCAGGTACATAGATTTATAAAACATCATAAAAAGTGAGGAACTGGCTATTTAACATACATGTGTGTGTATATATATATATGTATGTATGTGTGTTAAAATATATATTATAGACACACACATATATATTTCTTTGTTTTCAATGAAGGTAATAAGGAGGTGAGAAAAGCCTGAAGATCCTTCCTATACAAGGGATGTTACAGTTTGGCCCTGGTTACCAATAATCTGTTTTGATTCTAACCGGTAGCTACTTAAAAAGAAATAGGATAATTCTAACCTTCTCCTTAGGACTTTTGTGCCCTTAGGTATTTACTCTCAGCAACAGTCTGTGGTGCCTGAATTACTGCAACTGGAGGAAGGGATAGGTAAACATACCAAATCAGCTGGAAATATTTAAAGGTTAACACTTTCTTGGTGTGAAGCTAAAGACATTATGTTTTGTTCTAAAAAGCCAAAACCAAGGAGAGAAATATCCCCCCCCCCCATCACAACCCTTTTCAAGATACAAAATAAATCTGCTATGATCTACTTCACTTCCATCAGCATCAAAAAAGAACTGATTGCATACTCAAGTTTCCTATTTTCATGACTGAATATACTTAAAACAATTTCATTACTGAGTACATTTTCTTAATTAAGAGATACACATAATTTCCTCCTAAAATAGAGCAAACTCTTGATTACAAACATTGGTGTATGTGGTTAATCACAACAAATCTGAATTTCAAACCAGCTTGCTACCCTCTCGCCCACACACATGCTTCTGCTGTTTCCCTTTGAAAAATCACATGTACTAATAAAAATGTAAGCCATTTTCCTTGGGAGACATGTGAAGGGAGTACAGTAATAGAAACAAATACTCCAATGATACAACATTTTGTATTACTACTAGAAAATATTTTTTTTACTACTGTTAATTAAAAATGTAAGATTTATACACTTAGAAATACAAACATTAAAGCTGTCATTCTAACATCAGACTTGGTTTTAAGACAATCTATCCACTGCTATATAATGCAACTTCCCTAAGGTACTCCTAGATGTTAAAGCTGGACTCTTCTACAATATCTGAATTATTCAACAATGGCAGTGTTCACTAGTCAACTGGATTTCTAACTGAATTGAGGAACACAGTCTATTGTAGGAGCCTATTTGCAGTTATATCTCTATGACATTTTTTACTGTTAAAATCTGTAAAAAAAAAAAAATCTAAAGAACAACTTCATGAGACATACAGGTATGGGATTATAACTTTTTTTATCTGAGTAAACAGAGGCTCAGAGTTAACAGATTTGCCAGGGGTACTTCAGAGTCACCAATTTTGACCAACTTCCTGACCTTTACTCCAGTCCCCTGTTTATCCTTTATTATGCCTTACTTAAAAGGAGTGTTTACATGTTTAGCTATCATGCTAATTACTCAGGAAAGCAGAATCACAAGACCTTTACATCATTTGCCTTATCTTCATAACTCCTAGACCTGAGTTTATATATTATCTTTTAATGGACTCAAGCCTAGCACCACTAGAACATCACAGATTTCCACCACTCCTGTATTAGCTAAGAAATGATCTTAAACTGTAATAGGTGTGTGTTTATTTTAATGTGCAATTGTGCACCACCAAAAGTCATCTTGGGTGCCACAAAGGGCAGGTATACCACACTTGAGAAACTGCTTGAGGAAATCATTTTCCTTTCATTGACTCCAACTTTGAGCTTCTTCAAAATGGTTCTAGCCAGGCTTTCTGAAGTAACATAAGTCTTTGTCCACTATAAATAACCTTCCTTCAAACACTTGAAAATTCCAGTTAAGTCTTCTCTTAATTTTATATTCCCCAAACCGATCCAGCTTCTTCATTTATGCACAAGACACAATTTTTACTCTTTCAAAGTTATTTTGTCACTGTTCACCACTCATTACCACAACCGACTTTTACTGTCAGGAACTGTTCTAAATACTTCATGTGAACGAAATCACTCACTTCTCACAAGATCCTTCTGAGGCAGGCAGAATGCTGTCTTTCTTTTACACATGAGGACTCAGAGACAAAGAAGTTAGGTAAACCACCCAAGGTGACACAGTTAGAAATAGCAAACTTGGGTTTAAACCCAGATACCCTGGCTCCAGAGTCTGTAATTCCAACCACTGCCAACTATTGCTAAACCACCACATGGAAGGAATACTGATGCAGAATTTATTACCAATGTTGATTTTAAAGGTCAATAATATCAGCTATGCTTGTTGGTTAAATAATATTACTAAATCAGTTGCCTAATGGTGAGTTAAATTTGTGACAAACTAAAAAGACCAACAATTTCAAAAGCAGGTCTATGTGCTGAGATGCTGTAATTTCTTTAATCAATCAGTAATATTGCATAATAACTCGGTATACGCAGAAGTTTGATATTAATATCACTTAATTCTCACTTCTCTCTTCAATAACCTTGACATCTACAAAAAACCCTACATTCTTAACATTTAATACTTTCTTACCCCATAAATATACCTTATTTTCTGCTCTTGCTTTTCCTCTTAACCAAGGATCCCAGATAAGCAAAGTTTTGGGTTTTTTTTCCCTCTCTGGATCCAGTTGTTTGGACTAGCCTAAACACTTCTGATGTCCTAGATTCATCATCATTTTTCTCTCCTAGTCCCTGCCAGAGTACTGAGTATGTATTATAACCCTAAAATGGAATTCTGTCAAGGATGCTAACATAAAAAACAGATTTGTCCATATGATGTAACTCCTGCGTGCCTTAATTTTATTATTCTCCAAACAAATCCAAGTCTTTCATCTATTCACAGGACATGATTTTTACTCTTTCAAAGTCATTTTTGAAAATATATATATTTAATAAAATATGATTAGGTCTACTATGTGATGAAACACTCAACATCTAGATTACTTATAAATGTTTTAGACAACTGAAGAAGTCAATTAGTTTAATAATGTTTAGTGCAACCGAAAGTACAAACTGTAAAAATAGTGTGGCTACTAAGCTCTGTTCACATAGAACCAACACATTTTATTGTGATTACGATACACTTGTGAATCATTCTATTTTACTATGTATTCAGCAGTCTAAGAACATCTGCGAATGATCTAACAAATTATCTCATACAGCACTTTCCTTTAGATAGGTTTTAACAGAATACGTGAAACATATGCAAATTCACTTTTCAACTGAATAGCTTTTCTTAGAAGTTAAAAATAGAAATGTGAATGATCTTTATTTACCATACAGACTGTTCCAAAAGAAAAGGATTTAAGGAAGTCAGGATCAGCATATTAAAAATGTATCATTACCTAAAGTCATTATTTTATAAATCAAGCCATAAAAGTAATAAAGACTATGGTCTATTTTCTGTTTTGTAAACATAATTTTCAATCACAGATTTAGAATTCAGAGACCAGCTGCTGAAACGATGATACGGTTTGTTAATTCCATGGTAGAAAAAAGGCTGCATGAGAAGTCCTGGGATGTAACTCCCAGTGCCTTTCTGGTCAAAGTCTATGGACTGCTAGAGCTCTGTAAGGCCTGGCGTGAACACGACCTCAGTCTAGAGTGCAGAGTCTGTTAATACTGTGACAATTCTATTTCTAACCATCCGAGAAGACCCTCAGGAATAAATAAACCAGTGATTAGACTAGGCTAGCATGTGGTGGGTACTCAGTACAGAAGGGTCAAATGTTGAACAAATCAACCTGTCACCTCACTTAATGCTGTTGTTCTTCTTCTTTTATTCCATCATCCTATCTACACTGACTATCTCCTAGGTAGCCTAGACTTTCTTCCTATCTTTCCTTCTTTATTTAATATTAATTTTTAGTTAACACTAGAGTTCACATTGTCTAGCTTCACACTGGCTGTTTTTTCACTCTTTGTTTCTCAACTTCATTGCCAACTTTTTTAAGCAAAGCTTTAGTTGAAGAAGTGTCAAGCCACTCTAGCAATTAATTATGTATTTTAAAGGAAGTCCTATACTATCTTTACCATTCCTTCTTCATTCTTCTTCCCTCTTCTCAGACCTGCCCCTTGCACATACTCTACAATAAATAAGTGTTGTTTAAAATTTAAAAATAAATAAATAAAAGCAACCTTTGCGAAGGGTATTTGAATCCTGCCATGTCTACTCCAAGGTCATGGAAGTGCTAAGTACTGTGACTCCAAATGCAATATTTGTCCAACAGAAAGAAAACAACTTTAATGAAAGTCTATTTATTCTTTTTCATGAGAGTAAAATTCACTGTGTAAACTTTCTAACTAGAAAAAAATTAAGCATGACTACCATATTTAGAGAATCACCAGTATATTTCCTAGTCGAACATAAACACAAGTGTTATAGTATATAATAACAGGCTCTACAGACTTTGTAAATAGTACCTCATTTCATTCTCATAATGAACTTTGAGACTGTTATTCCCATTTCACAGACGGGAAGTTAAGGCTCGTGGAAGTCACTTAAACAAGTCGATACAGTAAACTGGAAAGCTGATATTCACACTCAGGATCGCTTCTGCAGTCATAATCACAGACTAAAGTCATGCTGCCCCAGCAGGCTCCAATGGCTGCTCTGCCAGTGAGAATATGCTCGAACTCCTTATCCCACCTTCTGTAGAGGAAGAGCTGCAGCTCCATGTTTATACTTATAAAATGATTAGCTTGCATGTACAGGGAAGGCTTAGAGAAACATGTATTCAGTCATCTCTATATAAATCAATTGAAAACATAAAGTGTTTTATAAAAACTTACCATTTAACATCAATAGATTGTCAGTTCCTGGATGTGGATAGCTCAATCGACCTTTAAAAAGATGGGAAAGGGAAGTTTGAAGATTATGGAGCTATTGGAAAAGCAAAAAAAAAAAAAAAAAAAGGAAGGGGAGTAAGGAGAATAAATTTACTGAGCATAGTACAGTTCTTCAGGAATAAAAAATTAATGTTTAGTTCAAAGTGTATTAACTGAAACTACCTTTGGAAGTTGAAAATGAAAACAGTGAACTTTTAGTTCTCAGAATATAAGAGCACAATGTGATTTGGGAGCAACCCTTATGGAATCAGTTTTCTTTTTTTGGAATAAAAAAACAATGTAGGTATCCTAGTCTTTCAAACTTAATACAGGATGTAAAATTAAAAAAAAAAAATTCTCAAATCTGTTTGCAATTCTCTCTAAAGGCCTATTTTCCCAAAAATCATATTTGAAGGACAGAAACTTATATTCTTAAAAAAACACAACAACAACAAAAAAATAAGCCGCAAAAACTCTTCTCAACTTGCTCTTGAATTCAATATGATTTTATAAGCTGAATTTAAATAAAGCTTAATAAAAACATCTTAAAGGTTTTACTACAAATAGTATTGGAAATTTTATACTGTTTGATATTATTCAAATTTTATAAATGAGACAAAAATAAAAACATAAAAAATGCAAATATTAAAGCTTAGGAGCATGAATACTTCTTTTTGAGTCATCCTTCCTTAGGGAATTTTGCATTTTGAAAAATGCAGAAGGGACAACTACTATATGCTGCTGTGGAAGAGAAAAAAGTTGTACATGAACAACTGCTGCAGTTTTATATCATAACATTTATTTGATTAAATCCCAATAGTGAGGATGATCATTTTTTTTGTACTACGTGAAAATATAGGATTTTCCTTGAATGACTGAATCTGTGATAGACTATTAGAAACGTACATTAAAATCTGCTCAGAAAACTTTGAAAAATTAAATATCTGTGAGATTGCATTTTAGCAACTTTTAGCACAGCGCTTGAAAAAGACACTATGACACAGTGCAGTGTATTGATACCAGAAGGAGAAACCAATGACTGTCAATGAACCTGACATGATTTGTAAGGAGTACAGAGTAACTGCATCTACCTTTACCGCCTCAGCAAGTGCTTTATATTCTGAGGGTCCTCTCCAAAATATCCCACACAAAACAGATATTATCTACTGGCTTTTAATTATGAAGTTAAAGAATTTTATCATCTCCAGTGCAAGAGCAAGTGGCAAAGGAAATCCAATTTTGACGTTAAAACAGATAAGCAGATATATACATATTTGTGTGTGTGTATGTGTGTGAATGTATGTGTGTGTGTGTGTATACACACACACACGCACATACCTATATATACACACACACACACGTCATCTGAGTTCTAATTTAACTAAACACTTCGTTTTCACACTGAACTTAAACTAAATGTTTCTGACCTTCAAAGGACAATTTACCAGCCCTTATTGACGCCTAAGTTTCACGCAGCATGACATTAGTTAATGGAATACCATACAGATAAGTTTACTGATGTGATACTTTAGTATAGAATGAGAAACAGGAGAGTAAGTACAAAGGGCATAAGATAGTTAGGAAGCAGAGCTCTCTTGAACTGGATATTTCAACAGCGTGGAACATTACTTTGAAGGATCATAGTTTATTTTGGAAATATGCCTATTTCTAAACATCTTGTTGCAGATGACCAAATTTAGAGAAAAATTTAAGGCTACAAAAAAAATCACCATTATACTTGAGACTGAAAACCAAAACCCCTAACAAAGTGGCAACCTGTATTGCTCTGTTCAGTGTAGCAAGTTCATTAGTCTGTACACTGATACTAAGGATACAAACACTAGTGAGATAGTCTCTGCTTATGATGCGGTAGGTGAGACAGACACAAATAAACAATTCCAATACACTTAGCCAAGGGTAAAGAGTTATGTACAGTAGCCTATATTAAAAAAACAAAACCACAAATGAGTATTTAACCAACTCCAGGGATTCAAGCAAAATTTCCAAGAAAAGTAAACTAAGCAAAGCCTTAAGCCTAGCTCCACTTCAAAAGACACTCAACTTCCAACTGCCACATAATTATCCTCTAATAGGTTTACTGTTCACTTTATTTTTTATCCCAAGACACAGGTAACAAGATATTTTCATTACTAATAGTCTTTTGATTTCTTGGCTCTGAATGGACTTAAAAGGCATATCTTACGTGGAAAGTTCAATAAACAGATATCCTATTTGCAAATGGATAGATATGCATAAATATATTCTAAAATATAATTCTTTAAAGAAGAAAATCTCTCGAGATAATTAATAAAATACTCCAAGTTGAAATAAGCAGATTTAGATTTGTTTTAAAATTACCTAGTTACTTTTCCTCTACCATAGTGAAATACTAATACATCTTTACAAGTAAATTTCACAGCTCTATTTTACATGTGAGTGAGTGAGTGAGTGTGAGTTGCTCAGTCATGTTGGACTGCAAGTAGCCTGCCAGGCTCCTCTGTCCATGGGAGTTCCCAGGCAAGAATACTGGAGTGGGTTGCCATTCCCTTCTCCAGAGGACCTCCCCAACCCAGGGGTAGAACCCAGGTCTCCCGTGTTGCCGGCAGATCCTTCGCCGTCCGAGCCATGAGGGGAGCCCATCTCTTTCATGAGGGATAGTGTTAAAGTTACTCTCGTTAAGAACCTGCCCATCGACAGTAATAACTAACACTGGAGGTTTTATGGGCTTCCCTGGAGAATGGGATTGGCCTAACCCACTCCAGGATTCTTGCCTGGAGAATTCCACGGACAGAAGAGCCTGGCAGGCTACAGTCCACGGGGTTGTGAAGAGTCAGACACAACTGAGCAACTAACACTTGCACTTGGCGGGTTTATGATGTACCGGGAGCTTTTCTTGGAGAAGGAAATGGCAATCCACTGCAGTGTTCTTGCCTGGAAAATCCCAGGGACGGGGGATTCTGGGGGCTGCCATCTATGGGGTCACACAGAGTCGGACACGACTTAGCAGCAGCAGCAGCAGGAGCTTTTCTAAGTTCTTTACAACAAATTACTTAACCCTCACAACAATCCTGACTTAGGTACCATTATCTTCCCACTTGAAGATAAACCTTGCCACAAAAAGTTAAAACATCTAGCCCAAGATTATAGCACTGGCAGGATTCGATCCAGGCAGATTAGCTACATACTTAATCACTATCTTAACAATGACTTCCTAGCTAATAACAACCTGGATCAAAGTATGCATGGTTGGTTGTACAAAAAAAATTCATTCAATGAAAAAATTTACAGAATGATTATGCAGCATAGATAACTTATCCTTTAATACATAAAAAAAAAAACAGAAAAAAAGCCACATTGCTATAAAACCAGTTTCCTCCTATTGTGCCTGTGGCACAGAGGTAGTTGTAGATTAACACCTGTTTTGTCAATACTAGGACACACAAATGGGCAGACAGAGAGCTGCCCACAGGGAAAAAAAGTATAGATTTTCCCAACCTTTCTTGTAGTTAAGTGTGCCCACATATCTAACGTGTGGTCAACAAATGTAAAACAAAACTGGTAACTGAAGTTTCTGGCAAGTATCCTTAAAAGGGAAGCTCTTCCCTTTTCTTTACCATTTCTCCTGCTTTCTGGAATGCATATGCAATGGCTCAACCGAATCAGCTATCTTAGATCATGAGGCAGAAGCTGGGTGTGAAGACTACCAGACTGAAGGACCCCAGACCTATGAGAACCACAACACTACTTCTCGGAGTCTTATGTTTATGTAAAAGAGAAAACGCCTATCATATTTAAGCTACTTAGGAGTTCTCAGTTATACCAGAAGAAGTTAACTTTACAGATAAAGTCCTCTAGCAATGAGTTTGAGCAAATTGAATTTTAGTTAATTGGGCTATTATTTATGATTGTAAAAATATGACAAAATATAGCAGTGTTATGATGGTTTTAACATATCTAAAGAAATGGGTATACACTCCCTCTTGGTCTCTTTTACATTAAAATACTATAAAATTGAAAATAAATAATTTTGAAAAAATTCTTAGGTGTTGGTGAATAACTAGAAGACCTACAGTACCTTAAAAATTGTCTTATTAGTCTGATTTTTAACAATGTTCGTAATACATATACAAAAAGACAATTCATGTTAGCCATTTTAGATGCATATTACCACATCAAAAAACACTGACAAATATGACAACTGCATACAACTTACCAACTATAAAGATAAATTATTCACAAGGCAATATTTAAAGACATGCAATAAGTTAAGCCATTAGACTATTCACACTTACTACCAACACAACTTATTAGTGATAAAATGATTAACATCTATTTCATGTTTCCTGAGATTTATAAACATTCTTTTAAAGCTACAGAAATATGAATTAGGAAGGATAGAATGAAGCAATCATTTCCCCAACATCTCTTAATGATTGTGTATTCTCAAATTTAAAGCTTCTAGTTAATGAGAAGATACCCATTTGATGAATTTAGTTGCTAAGTTGTATCCAACTCTTCTGTGACCTCATGGACTGTAGCCCACCAGGATCCTCTGTCCATGGGATTTTCCAGGCAAAAATACTGGAGTGGGTTGCCATTTCCTACTCTAGGGGATGGCCCTGACCAAAGAGTTGAATCCACGTTTCCTGCACTGGCAGGCAAATTCTTCACCACTGAGCCACGAGGGAAGCCTGTTCAATGAACCGTCTTACTTCCTGTCCCGGATCCCATATTCTCTTGCTTCTCCTCTATCAGCAGCCACTCCTAAGGTCTTCTTTGCAAGTAATTTATCTTCCTCCTCTTCTCAACCCTTAAATGCTAACGCTCCAGTGGTCAATCCTCAGACTTCTCTCTCTACACTGTCTCCCTGGATGACATTATCTGCTACCAAAACTTCATATGTCATCTCTAAGCAGATGACACTCATATTATACCTCTTAACTGCAACTCTCTACCCTAACTCTGTATTTCCCCAGATTAGTATACAGTATTTTTTCTCTTATCAACACACTGCC